GCAGGTGTCCGTCGTTCAGTGCGGCGCTTTGGACGGCGCCGGCGGTTGGAGCTGATGTTGCTGGCCGAGTCATCTGGGGCCAACGATACGGCATCGTCCAAAAAGTCGTCGTCTGCCCCATCATCCCATACACCTAATCCGGAGGCTGGAGTCCCCAGGCGAGCCTCCACGTAGGAACCACGACGGTTCTGGTTTGCAATCGACAGCCCAGCGCCACGTTCGCGGAGCGCGCGCCGCACCACCTCTGCCTTGCAGTGAAGGGCCTCAAAAGCATCTTCAAGTGCCTCCATGCCGAGGTAGATGTCCCGTTCAATCTCCGCCAGAGCCGCGATTTCCATTTCCTCGTCCAAAGCGATCGGGCCACCAAATGAAGCCGGGGCAGGCGAGGGAGACGGGCCATACGGCTGACTGGCAGGTCGGATCCCTCCGTCAATTGGGTTTGGTGTCGGGCCACGCGAGATTCCGCCGGTGGTGAATGGTGTGTTGGATCGACTATAGCTATAACGTGGCGGGGTCGAGCCTGGTGCGCCGGGGAAGGTGTCTTCAGCGCCACTCCGCAGAAAACCATCAAACCGACCCGAGATCAAAATGTCCCACTCGTCGTCACTGATTGCTGCCAGGGTGGCGAGAACATGGTGCATGCCGGGATTGTTCAGCATGTAGATGGCGGCTTCTGGATCGCGCGGAGCGGAGGTCAATCGGTACAGTCGCTGGATGGCGAGCGACGATGACACCAAGGGTGCGGGTCGGGGCCGCGGTGGTCCCTCCGGTCGCGGTGTAGGCACTGTAGAGCCGAGGCCGAGAAGAGCGGAAAATAGTTGACGTTCATGAGGCCCGAGATGGGTTAAGATGGCAAAGGTCAGGGTTTCGTCATCTACCTCCTCAGGCGCGCTCGTAGCCTGACCGGACTGCTCGTTAAGCCACTTATCCACAGCAACTTTCGTCTTGCGCGACTGGCGAATAAAGTGGTCGCGATACTCCTCCGGCACATCAATGTCCAGCTTCTGCATGGGAATATGTTCCTCCCCAGACCAGTTCGCGTCAACCACAGCTGGGTTCAATATGAAAGCCGGCCAGCTGGGAAGTTCACGACGACCCGAGACAAGCTCCAATACCTCACCCCAGCTGACGCCTGATGGACGCTCTTCCATTGTCTCATGCTCACACATCAGACAACTGCAGTACTCGCATGAAATGTCACGGGCAAACACCGCTTCCAAGCGATCGAGCAGGCGCCGCGCGACAGACCGATACCCCGTGGCAACCGCTAGCGACCCATTCTTGGCCATTACATTATTGTAATCCTCGAGAAGTCTGTTGAACGGTTCAAAGATCTTGGTTGCCGCGGATTGAGAAGGCGATGGCGCATACGGCGAACCGTCGGGAACAGAAGGGCCGAGCATAGACTTCGGAACACGATGGTCTAGCCCACCATTCTGTAGAAGATAGTCCACTTTTGGAATCGAGACAGGAACTTCGGGAGGAGGAGGTGGCGGTGGTGGAGCACCGTAGGCAGAGCTCGCTGTGGGTGGTCGTCCATAATCATACGCAGCGTCAACCGGTGTACGAGCCCCAAAGCTCGGGCGAGATGAGGCCGACGATCGCGTCTGGTTGCGCGATGGCGGCTTCTCTGGACTCTTCGGCTTGCGAGAGGTTGTAGACTGATGAGGCGGCGCAATGGTTGCGTCCGATCCATTTGCTGAGTCCGGACCAATGTCGCGCACTGTCGCGGGCGAGCGAGGGGGAGTGGCATGGCTGGATGGCCGCTTGGGGGAAGCCGTTTCCTCGACGATCTTTGACCGGGTCGAATTGCGACTGGCCGTCCGTGACGGCAAATCAGACTCATAGCTGGAACGCTTCGGTTTTACCGTCTCCGACCGTGTTGGCTTGCTCGTTTTGGAACCGTCATCCTTCTTCGACCGCAGACTCGAGGATGACCGCGTGGACTCTGCTCTAATCCGAATCTTGGTTTTTGGCTTCTCTGGCTTCTCCTCCGCTCCTTTCTCTTCTTTACTACCAACAGTGCTTGCCTTGTGTGATTGCTGGTCCACGCTCGTTAGCGGCGGGCTGGGGGGCGCTTGGTTGTTATTCTCGGCACGGGTCTTCGCATCTCCATTGCTACCTTCTTTACCTCCCTCGGTCAAGTCGGTCGGATCTGGTGTAGGGATGCTCGGTTTGCTGATGACTTCTTTGCTGTGGGCTTTGGAGAAGGTCGGATATGGGAGGCTGGTCCTCGACTCGAGGAACGAGGCTGTGCCCGAGTGGCTGGCGCTGTCGACCCCAGGCATGGAGGAGCGGCGCTTTTTGCGGGAATTGGAAGTAGATGTGGAAGGGGTTGAGGCGCGGCCCGTGGGAGTATCGGGGTCGCGTTCCTTGGTTGAAGTGCGGGAGGTCTGTCCGTGGGACGAGCGATTCTTGCGTGGTCTGGATTTGGATGAAAGGGTCGAAGATGAAGAAGTCTTTCTCTCCCGGTCCCTATCGCGATCTCGGTCATTTAGTCTCAGCGGTAGAAACATTATGTGGAAGAAGGTGGAAAGGTTTCGAAAAAGAGGGTGAAAGGAAGGGTAGAAGACGGCAATAGAGCGTTGTCGTTCTTCCTTTCCACCCCTTGTTTCCTGCTCTCGTCCCCACTGTCCGATCGGTTGATATTTTTCGTCTAGTTACCTCGTTTCAAGTAATGATCAAAAAAAGTAAAGAGCAGTGACGGAGGAGTAGTCGTCAGCTTCCCAAGAGAATGTCACGAAAGGAAGGGTGCAGTCGGATGACCCGAGACCCGATTGATGTTCGTCTGGCGCTTAAGAGATATCGAGGAATGCAACTCTCACTGGTCGAATGCCTGATTAGGCGCTTGTGCCAAACCACCAAAGGCGCTGCTGAAGGGCATGCAACATCCCGTGGGCGGCGGGCGGGCGGGGGGGAAAGACGAAAAGAGGAAAGTGAAGAAGATCACGACGATTAGCTAAGGTGACGGAAGCGAAGAAGAAGGGGGGGGTGGGAATGGGAATAAAACAATCAAATAGTGAGTAGTTCAGGGACGATGCATAAGGGAAAGATGGCGAGCCAAATTGGATGGATGGGGGATTTTGCGGTGAGAGACGGGCTGGCGGAGAGGATGGATCCCCGCAGCGATTCGGTGGTGGTGGGATTTTCCCAAATTTAGTATAGCAGCAACTAGAAGCTCGGAGACCACCAGTGACGTGGTGCTGCATAGAAACCCAAATGGGGTGCACAGAAAGGCAGTGAGTACAAATAAATAGCAGCAAGGACCACGCCACTGCGATGGCCTGGTCTGGATGCTGCTGTCTTGGAGGGATAATGCTGGGAGTGGTTCACTTTCCTGCATCCAATGAGGTTGTTGTTCCCAGCAACAAGAAAGAAAGAAGATCCAAGTTCACGATTAAATTAATTAATTCCATCGCGAGGGGCGTGATCCCGCTGGCCTCAGGCATTATGCTCGGCTTGTGCCTGAGGCAAGGATAGATGGCTACCCAATGACTCACTCACTCTTCAAGTGGATCAGCACAAGCGAACTGGAAGCTGGTGGATCGTATCCAAATAGGATGAAGCCTATCTTGATGATTACTGAAGTGATCGGAATTATGCCAAATTAGCTGAGTGACCATCTACAGTATACCCTGAACTTGTAGTCATGAGATAGATCGAATACGATATTGAAAGACATTTACCCGTAGTATAATATGAACATCTACGGTATCAACCGAATCAAATCATTCGAAAAAGTTTAGTCTGCTATCAACAGGGTATCAAAACTCTACTAGAACCATATAAGCGTAGCAATAACTCCTCTTCCCTAGATGCCAAGGTTTAACTCCATGCTGTCAATCCATTCGACGCCTTCTTCACAGGCGACATCTCCAGAACCCAATTCCCATCTTCCTCATGAGCCACCCCTCCTCGACGTGCTGCTCGCATCAATCGTTCACTCGCCGGTGTTCTCTCCCCAGTGTGTCTGTCCCACACCCAACCCTCCTTCAACCACATCCACGTCAAGTACGCTCGTAGCTCTTTATCTTGCGGCAACACTGATTTCCACTCAGGACTGGAAGATGTCTTGGAAGCTCCCTGACCTCTCCAATCCGAGGCAAGTCCCCGGAGTTCGTCACGGCAGAAGATCCTCCAGCTGTCCAAAGAATAGGGTCCGACACCAGGAAGGTGAGCAATCTCCCAACCCACGCGAGCGTCATCATCAGCAATGGTTTCATCGGCGCCGATATCACGTCCATCTCCCTTGCAGGGGTAGTGAAGTTTGCGGTAGCGCCTTCCTTTCGTAGGTGGAAAGGCCAGCCAGGTCTGGGCTAGTGCAATGCACTTCTTCGCTCGCTGGTTCTGGAATCCGAGACAGTGTATCATAGATGCCAGGGTGGATGGGTCCGTCGATGCCATCGCCTCCACCGTTGGGAACCGATCAAACACTTTGAATAGTACTGGAAGCGCAACGCCCCCGCGAGTACGGTTCAAGAATATGGTGGCAATTAGTAGACGGAAAGGATCATGGGCAAGTTGCTCCTGTACTAATCCGAATGATGGCGCATCGACGGGTGGAAACGGAAGACATGAATCAGGGTCGACCAGAGGTTTGGGAAAGTATGGGGATATCTTCTGAGGCCTCAGACGTGGTGTTCTAGGCAGCACAGGAGCAGCCCCTATCGATGTTGCTTTAGTCGGCGTGCTTGGTTCTACGGCCTCTGATACACACTGTGTCTGGATAGGTGAGACATCGGGAGAGTAGAGAAATGGAATATCATCGAAACCGCTAGGTACATCACTCAAGTCTGAATCAGTAGAAAGGAAATCCGATGAAAGATTCAGCTTGGATAGGAGAATTCGGGTTTCTTCGGGTATCCGACCAAGAACATTCTCTGAGTGGGTATTTCTTCTCTCTGCACAATGCACATTCCCTTTCTTCAATTTCTGGGGGGCGATGAAATACTTCGACCTCACCTCATCGCTGGTGATTGAACTTTGCGAATCATTGGTATCTAAAAATCCTCCAGATTCCAGAATGCCTCGTCCAAGATAAAAAGATTATCGACCTCTATGGTATTGGGCTTTGCTGCTTGATTTGCTTTAGAATCACGGCCTTGTTGAATGTCATCTGCACTCGTCGTCAATGCGACATGTTCAGTGTTCGTAAGGCTTGCGCGAAAATGTTTCTTCTTTCGCTGTTTGCGATTATCACGCTTCCTTCTATTCTTTTCTTTCTTGGACAGCACACGATCGGGATGCTGCGTTATATAGCTCTGCAGGGATTCAGGCTGCTTGGCTTGCGTAGCCGAGGGGAGTTCATCTTTCGCCGAAACAGGCTGAGATGATCCAGTCTTCTTATCCTCCTCACCCTCGTCCTCCTCGTCCTCCGAATCACGAATGGTGTGCTGGCCTGGGAATTTGGGAGAGGAGTGAAGTGTCATGGACCTTTTAATTGATGCTTGCTGCGATGGGAGTGTTTCAGCATTCGCCTCCTCGGATTGAGTGGTCTTTTTCTCAACGGAGCTTTGTTTGTATCCTTCCTCAGAATGTGGCGGTGATGGAAGTCTGTGATTCTCATCATTATGTCTCTCTGCGGCCTGTCCAGCAATTGGAGATTTGACCGGGACATTCTGCGTGGCGTCTGGCTCGGGACTTTCGTTACCACTCGGGCATAGATCAATAGTAATTGCCGGCATGCCCTTAGTGGCATCTGTAGTTCTTTCCTCGCTGATCTTGGAATGAGACGTGGGAGGCTTCGCTGTCGAAATGTTTGCGTCCGGACCATCAGTTTCACACCTTTTACGGTGTCCATTTGCGATTGGTTCGAGCGACTTTCTTTTCTTCGATGTAGTCTTCTTTTCCTCTTGTTTCGATGTTGTCACCTGATCATTGCTGGCGCCTCGCTTCCTCTTGTTGTCCTTGTTAGACGACTTCGGTGGGCTTGTTTGCCCATCCTTGATCTCCTCGCCAAATCCAGAACCATCCAGACTCATCTGGCCATTCCCATACAGCTCAAGGTAGATCTTCTTGACATATGCAACCAGCCTTTCTAGATCAGCCTCTTTCATACCAAGCGATCGACTCTTTCGACGTAATTCACGAACGAAGCTTCGTCGCGCAGATCGTAGTACAGGATATTCGCCTTTCTTCATGAACGGGTGTGAGCTGATAAAGGTAAGCAGGTCCATCCTCTTATCTAGGTCTACAGACGCGAAGACGATGTCCTCCTCAGAGGCGTCATCCATAGTTTCGCCATCATCGACGAGCGTGTGTCCATTAGGCCCAACCACACTCGTACTAGACTCGGTATCATTTTCATCGTCATTCGAGTCCATGCGACTGATGTGTCTCTGTGCCGCTTTTTGGGTCTTCGAGCGCTTTTTGCTTGGAAAGTAAGGCGAGTCCACGTTTGCAGATTGCGTAGCAGCGGTAAATGCCGAGGTGTGGTGACCCCCGCTTTGTGCCATGTCATCCTCTCCGTTTATACCATCGCTACCGCTATAATCGTCAAAGCTGTTCTCAAAGCTTGCCTCGTCTGAAAGTATCTGATCCACCGTGCGTTGGGTCACTTCATCGAATGAATTGTGGAGGTCGACGTTGATATGCGGAGGCGAGATCCGGACCAAAGGGAACGTGGAGACTCCTTTGCCACCTGCCATGGCTGCGTTGTATATTATTGACGGTCTATCTGCTAGGCTCCGTTTGGTAGATGCCGACTGAGTGTGTTCAACAAGAGTGCAGCGGTTTGTTGGAATAGATTGTAGGAATAGAGGCGCATGGTCAGGAAATCGAGAAGGAAGAGTCAAAAGACTAACACAGGGAGTGAATTGATTAGTGAATGAGTAGGCCATACCTCTCTCCATCTATCTGCAGGAGATCCACTCACAGGAGTAACACCAATCCACCATATCCAAAACTTCGCAACTCCAACAGCCATATGCGCAAGCTAGAGCAGCCACATCGACCGCGAAAGAGTGAGCGAATCCAACACGACGAAAGCCTTTCTGGGGATTTCTTAATGATAAGGCTTTAAGCCATTTATCCAATCGGCGAAGACGATAGAATCTCCAGTCATTCACAACCGACGACCACAAGGTGAGGGTGAACTGGAAGCCAGTGGAACAGAGCACACATTCCTCATTCTGCTGGCGCGCGCCGACGCGGAACCCGGGCAGCGCACGGGCCACCTCTGATAGATCACGCCCGCCATCTGATGTGTCCCGCCCCTTCCATGTCAGGTCCTTGCATCTGTTACAGACTCGCATCAGACCGATCGACTCGAAGAGTGAAAGGGGCTGGTAGGCTGCAGGGATTGTAGTCGACGTATGAAGTACTGCCTTGATTCTTTCAAGTATTCATACGTCGTGATGTGCCTAGTAGGGTTGTCCCTACCGCAACAAAGTGCGGAGATAGCATGCGGGGCAGTCAAGAAGACGTTTCTTTGCGTTGTATAATATTAGCAGTACATACCTGCCCCGGATATTGTCATAATTCGTTTCGATATTCAAGTCTAATGCTATATGTATACTTTATCTCTCGCTGCAACTCAAGTCCAAAACTGTAAATGCAAGACAGAAGGTATCGCTCATAAAACCCTCATATATGTATAGTCAGGATGGACATATGCATTATACATCCCTCAAACAGCAAACCCTCCAGAATCAGCCTGTCTAGGCTCCCCTGCAGCATCGAAGGTTCCATTCGGTAGAACTCGAATCGCCTGCGCCGTGCTCTCCCCTGGACCTACCCAGGTCACATTGTGACCTCTTGCCTCCATGAAGGACACAGTCTCATTGTCATAATCGTACTCAAAGGTGACACGATTCGGGACCAGTTGGTCGTGAAGGCGCGGCTGGGCCAAGGCTTCTGCCGCTGAAAGACCTTCGTCGACGACATGGATAATATTCTGGATGGTGGCAGTGATAATCCGACTACCTCCTGCCGAGCCGGCGACGAAGAACACTGTTCCGTTAGGATGGGTAACAATGGCCGGAGTGCAAGAGGATAGTGGGCGTTTCCCGGGTCGTATGAAGTTTGCCTCGGACGGAATATAGCCAAAGGAGTTGGACGAATTAGGAATAGAAAAGTCTCAAGGATAAGTCAGTAACTGGGGTGAGCGGGAACAAATATGAAGCATACCATCCATCTCATTATTCATTATGATACCAGTCTCAGGAACCATGACTTTGGAGCCAAAAAGCAGATTGATGGTCGTGATCGCGGAAATGGCAAGCCCACTGTGATCAATGGTAGCAATATGCGAGGTACCCGGTCTACTTAGGTCAGTTGTCTGATAATACTATGGTACCATCAAGATTCACCCACGTTTCAAGACTCTCATATCCCTGCGGATTGTAGGCAGACACGGCTTGGGTATGCTGGTCGGAAATGTTCTTTCGAATCTCTTCAATGGTGGAATCCGCTAGCATCATTTCCTGATACGTGTCCATGCCATCGAGGAAGAACGGATCTCCCAGATTAGTCCTCTATATCACAAATTAGCATCGCCTCCAACTGATTCAATTGGCTACTAGTTAACTAGAGCGGATAAGCGTACCAATCCATATCCAAACCGTATGGCCTCGTCCAATCGATGAGTGCTCAGGTTCAGAGTATCCGGACTAAAAAGGTCATCGTAAGTACCCAGAACTTTGAGAACGTTCAGAGCTACGATACCACTGGAAGGGGCTGGGGTGCTAGTAATCCGATAGCCGCGATAATCAATTTCTGAGATGTTGCGGATCGCGACCGTATAATTGGCCAAGTCCTCAAGCGTCATTGTACCGTTAGCTTTCTGTACCGCATCTATCATGGTCTTTGCAATCGATCCAGTGTAGAAGGCATCGGGGCCCTCGTTTGCGATGGTCTCCAGTGTGGCCGCATAACGTTTTCGCGTAATGGTATCACCCAGGCCAAGCCTGGTTCCATTGGGAGCAAAGTCGAGCGCCCAGGTAGGGTCCTGAGATAGGAAGTCTCCGTCGTCCCCAACAGCAGCTTTCATATAGCGGACCAGATCCTGCCCGACTGACCATCCCTCCCGTGCGGTTTGGATGGCGGGCTGCACAACAGTTGACCAGGGGAGCGAGCCGTACTTCTTGTGGAGATACCCGAGACCACGCAGTTCCCCAGGAACGGCACTTCGATTGTATCAGTTATTGCAGCATCCAAGAGCCTAAGAGGGCTCACCTTGCAAGGCCCCCGCTGACGGAAGCCTTCGTATTATTCTCAAACATATCCTGGAAAGCGGCCGCCGGGGCAGTTTCGCGGAAATCGATGGCCTCGAAAGAGCCTTCAGGGGTCTTGACCAGCATGAACCCACCTCCTCCGATTCCACTATGGTACATGCCTTCCAACTAACATCAGGTCCAAGCACTTCTCTAGTTATTGTAGGCCAACTCACCAACAGTTCCAACGCAGAGCATTGTTGCAACCATCTGAGACTGAAGTCAGCAGGGCGCCAAATGACGACAGATCGGCTGGATCGTTCTCACCGCGTCAGCTGCATTTCCCCCCATGTTTATAATATCTGTTCCATGGCGACTGCAGATAGCACTTTCGCTCGCCACTGCACCGCGCTTCCCATCCTCCAATTTACTCGCTCGGTCAAGCCGGCTAGTCGCAAATTCAAGAGGCGAGGTGAGCACACTTGGCAGATGTATCGTTATTATGGTTAGGAGTAGCGTCGACAATATCGTGAATTTCGCAAGGCGGAACATAGTTGAAGCGCTGGGTCGCTTGTCATGTAACAAGGTCCACTGCGATCGCTCAGCCGGGGTCTCCCAGGTTTCGAGAAGTGGCTGTAGGAACAGAGCGGGTTAGAAACACAATTCAATAATGGCGCAAGGTTGCACGAAAGAGGGTCGACAGAGCGACTGGGTCTAAATACCTGCTTCTCCGCATCTTGGCTCGAACTTTTCTTTGGCTGATAGGTCTCCATGTTGCAAGGAAGTACAAAGTCGGATGGGGAGGGTCAAAGCGACAGGGTAGATACGTCCGCGAGACTTAGCAGGTGCGGAGGATCAGCATGGGAGAGCCCTTGTGAGCCTTTCCGCCAGAGTTAGAGGACGCCCTATTAGCAGATACACTACCCTAAGAAAGTACAAGGGAGGGGGAAGAACCAGCCCCAGCGAACGCAGGGAAATAAGAAATAAGGAAAGCCTTCACCCCAGCCATATCGGGGACAGCCCTGGCCGAGATAAGCAGCGAGGGATTGTGGATGCCCGCCTGCAATCAAGAGTCATGACTGGGACTCCGCATTCTTGGGTCGTGCTTATCGAGGGCGGTTCCGCCAACGGGAAGTCAGCCGCCACCCGCGGGCCCAAGTCACGCGATAACGCTGGCCGGGTTCGGCCTGCTCACCGTAATGAGCCGAACCGTGACCTCTCCAATTGAAGTGCAGGGATCACGCCAAGCTCGTTGAGGTTCCCCGGATTGTCGAGTCATGGTATGTAATCGCCCATAGACTTGACAGAAACCCTTACCTCACATCTTTGCTTTGACTTTTGACTACTTGATAGTGTCACATCATTGTCGCTATCTGCGCTTTCCTCCCGTATATAGCAGAGCCCATCCGCAACAGATTTCCGTGTGCCTCTGTCACCTTTAGAGCTCCACGGCCTCCTTTGTCCATGTAATGGTTTCCGTCCAAATGGGGGGGATATCTTCCTCCAATTGCAGGACTGTTTCAATAAGACGCCGGCCCCAGTCGCGGACAAACCACTTGTCAGAGAGAAGGTGCAATCCTACCCCGTAGTGTAGAAATAGCACGCGGCCCACCCAGTCTCCACTTTTCAGCAGAGCAATGTAGTCTTCGCTGATGTTTATGGGCCACGCAATGATGCCACCGTTTGGGCCACCGAACGGCCATCGTTTGATGGCTTCATGAAGAATATCCCACGTATTTTGGTATGTAGACTGGTTCGGCCCACCAAGGCTGGTGAATTTGTCTTGCACCCGCTGCAAAGATTCCATGATGGCACTTGTATTTGTTAGCATTACTTGACTAAGTTCCCGCGGAGATTCTAGAGACATACCTGCGTAGTTTGATCTGAGATTCCTGTACACTAGGGATATATTAGCATCCTGTCCTCATCGAAAGAAAGAGGGCAGGCAAGTACTGGTAGGGATTTCCATCTTGGTCGACCTCGTCATCCTTATACTTCAGCCACCCCTGGAGGTCGCCCCGATACTCCATGCCGCTAAGCTGCTCGAAAAGAAACGCACAGCCCGCTATGAGCTGTCGAATCTCCAAAACATGGGATAGCGGCTCGAATGTATGTTTGTCCTGGGTAACACACGGATAGGCTGTTGCGCAGAGCATAATGAAGATGGAGCACAGGAAGGCTGGTGCGCAATTTTCAGATGTCATTTCTGCAAGTACACGGGTGAATGCTGAACATGCTCGGTTCTGATACTTGAGTGCGATTTCTAGCCATGAACGGTTATCGTGAGTGTTCAGGTACGCTAGATGAAGAGCAGACAATCCTAGTAGGCTGTCCAGCAAGAAGGCATGAGAGACCGCGATCCGTGGGACAACCACTTGGAAGTGGTGAGCATCTAGACGGCCTTGACAGAGTGTGATGTATGTCTCTGTTACATAGTGGTGGAATAGTTTCATCTCAAGCATTCTGTCTGATTGCGGTTCTCCTTCGGGACCAGGAAATACATCAGGCATATCCTGGGGTGTGGATGCATGCTGGCTATCCGCTTCACTTGACGGTGGGTATGTGCAATCCAGTCTTCGTTTCTTGCACAGGCCACATCGTGGTGTCTCTTCGTCGCACTACTCCGTGGGTCAGCATGAGACCAGTAGCATGCATGATAGTGCTGGAAGGAATGGAAACAGCATGTATAGTGTAATTATACCGACGACTGTGATGGTGTGTAAACTGCCGATCCGGGGAGCGGGAAGAGGTAGCGAACCAGGGAGAAGAGAATGGAGATAAAAGAGAGGAAGTCAGACCTTCACATGCCGTTTCTTACATTGAAGACAACCCTTCCGGGACTTGGTATGACTGCGGCGGGAGGGCATTCGGAAGAGTGCCAGGCACGGAAGGGGAATGACGTATTTCGTCAAGGGCAAAACTTATCTAGTTCCGGTTAAGGTAGAAGCTGCGCGACGATAGTACTGGTAGTCTTTGGTTGTAATGAATGGGTTAAGCAGTACTAGTAGTGCGTGGGGTGAGAATAATCACAATGACCACAGCACACAATCCGATAACAAGAGGATCAGTGCAGCGGATAGACCAAGCCTAAATGACAGAAGTATGATAGAAAATGGCTGCTGGAGATGGAACGATGGAAATAAGAGAAACATAAGCTGCGGGTAACCCGACTGTCTATCCACCATCCATCGGGATCGGGTCTCGCCGTTTGGGGAATGGAAGCTGGTGCCGGGCCTGTGGCCTTTGTGGCAGGTTCTGCCGGTGTCAGCTTATCTAACAAGGCTGCTGATTGGTGGTACACTGCTTACTCAGCTATGTACCTGACATGGGCGGATCCTGTGGAACTTTAGTTGTACAAATTATGTTATTCTTAGATGGAACTGGTCCACAAGGACCATTCATTTGCAATGCTTTTGGTCTTCTTCTATCCGCGTGGATGCCTGTTTCATAAGTGATTTAGAGTCCTGTTACTGAACCGTAAGGTCAGCTCGAGAATCTTACACTAGGCTCCTATACAGTCCAAGGCAGCAGCAACTTATCGACCCCACTCAGGACCCCGAGTCGCTTCACGAGGGAAGGAAGATCTTCCAGCCTTGACCGTCCTACACCATACGGGTCCTTCTATCTGGTACTTATAGTCTTACTTGTATACTATGATTAACAGACTTTCTCTTTCATACGTCCTGCTTCCATCTCCAATGGGTGTTTACCAAACAACTCGAGGCTGTTATACATCAATTTATATCGAGGTGGTACCACCTGCTGCTTTACATCTTCACAGCATCTTTACGTGCAAGATGACCGTTCATCACTAGTCGCAAAGCATTTTTAGCAGGAATTCATTGGGCATATCCTCATGTTGAACGAGTAGTGGGGCTCAGATGCCCGGTCTTCCACTACGGGTGACTAGCAGCCCATTCATCCAGTCAACGTCCGAAATGCGGCCAGATCCCTGTCAAGACCACGTGACGGCGGTTTATGGGGGCCATCGAGCAGGTTGAGCATTGCAGAACACAAATCAGCCAGAAGGAAATCCAAGGTGCATGGTACCAGCGGTCCTCTAATCTGAACGTGACTGCTCAGATCTTCCAGCTTTTCCACAAGAATGAATGCGGAGGACTCCTCCCCGCACCAGCGGCAACGGTTTGGATCTACCAGGTCGCGCAAGGGCTGCATTACGTGTCGGTGAGCGAGAATCCCTCTGTCTACCTGCTTTTCTGGATCAGTCTGCTAACCCTTCATCTGGCGGCCACGGCAGGATCCGTCGCGTCAAATGTGATGAACGCAAGCCGGCTTGTCTTCGGTATGCAAACATTGGGATGACGCCTTTGCTGTGGAAACCCCACACTAACCTCCCGGATAGATGTACAAGTACGAACCGGAAGTGTGATGGTTATATGACCATGCCTTATTCGATACGCATCGCAAAGCAATTGGCACAAGTAACTGCGTTTGTCAGTCCGGCTGAGTCCCGAGCCCTCGAGTTCTTCTTTCGCAAGTCTGCAGCGCATCTGGCCGGTTACTTCACTGCTTCGTTCTGGACCCGCACGGTTTTACAGCTCAGCCTGACAGAACCTACGATCCGCCAAGCTATTGCTGCGATTGGGTTTCTGTATGAAGCGGAGGGGATGTCTACGACTCCGGCAATGGCAGAACGTTGGCAATCTTCCAAGTCCGACTTGGCACTACATCTTTATAACCGGGCCATCCGCACCACCATTGATAAGGTTTCATCAGGCATAGACGCTGTGCCCCTAGTCATAGCAGCCAGCATTTTATTCGCATCCCTCGAGTTTCTCCGAGGAAATGCTACCGGGGTTACATCGCATATCACAAGCGGGCTGAACCTGGTGCGGTCCTGGCGGGCGCATCGAGAGCGATCCGGCTGCACCAAGAGCTCTCAGACACATTGGGTGGATGCTGAATTGGCCCCTATATTGAACTCTTTCTCTTTGAATACATACGAGAAGTCGGCACTCAAACACCTCGTCAGTGCGCCACAAGAAAAAGTACATGTCAATCCCGTAGATGCTCAAGGAAAGCTTTTATTGAACTGGCGGTTCCGAACATTCCATCAGGCACGCATCGCCCTCCTCGACTTGATGCTTTACTACATCGGAAAATTCCCCGACCGGCAAGAGTTGGCCAGACTGACGAACCTCCCGCACTCACCCGTACAGCAATGGGCCGAAACTTTTGAGCATGCCGCCCAACGATGGGTGGCAAGCTTTGAATTGCTAGTGCAGCGGAAGCAGTCGGAATGCGGGCCGGCCATAAAAAACGAGATTGATGCTACTCGCATGTTCTGGTATTGTTACCGTTTAGGACTTGATCGGTATCGTGTGGCCAATGAATCCGGCTGGGATGACTTCCGCACTGTCTACGAGGATATTGTCTCAATTGCCGAGCGTCTGCTCAGTGACTCAGACCGCTACCCGGATGATGTCTCCAAAACGATAAATCTGGACGTACAGCTGTTGTATCCGTTGCAGGCTGTCGCCTGGAAATGCCGCTGGCCGGACCTTCGCCGTCGAGCCCTGGATCTGCTACAACGGATTCCTAAGCAAGAACTGATCTTCTATACCCCAAACTATCACGCCGTTTGCACACGGATCATGGAGCTTGAGGAGGGTACATTGTACAAAGAGATGCTTCCCCCAGATCACGCCCGTATCTACAGATTTGTCATTAGCCCTACTCCTGCGACGACGGCTGATCACCCTGTTTACTCCATCACGTTTACCACTTTTCCACAGGGCCGAAGTAGCGAGCCACACTTTCACACAGAATCGCTCTGGCTTCACCCCTCGCAAGCGGGGGTCACGACAACTGTGCCACCTGTTGATATGATGAAACGCCGTGACTGGCCACCGGTCGCCCGAACGGATGCTCACCTGCAACATGTTTTGTGTGGATAACACAGCCTGATGCCGTCCCCGCCAGATTAGAGGCACATAGAATGAGTTTAGCCAGATAAGAACAGCATGTGCTCTACTCTCCTAACTGACATTAACATCGAAAAAGTCAATACTTATAGTATTTTCTCGTTATCCTCCTATCAAGTGACGTCGCGTTGGCGGTCATCCCAACCGAACGGTATAACATACAGGTAGCAGTCCAAATATAGTCAACTTGAAGCAAGGCACTAAGAAGACTACCAACTGAAGGAAATGTTCCAACAAAATTGGACATCCCACAACCTTAATCCATTAGGGAGTGATCTTATGAGACACTAATAGCTTCAAGCTTACATCTTGTTTCAACTGCATACAGTTCATTTGTTGACCCTTGACTGTTACTGCATTACCCTGGGCTCCTATCATATTATCTCATTTGGCAAATAGGTGCTGAGTCCGGGTGGGTTTCAGTATTCTTCTTGAGTGGAATTATTGATCCGCGTCCACTCCGCTGACCCACCCCAAGCAGACTCAAAGTATGCCTTTGAACTTCACACAGCAAGCACACAATGGATATATACTAACTATAGGAAATCACTAGATGTGATAAAAAAACAAATCACTGGCGACAATTATGCTAACTGGGCGAAGATTCGGACTTGTTCAAAACTGTCTAGCGCTCGTTACTCGACCCACTTCAGCCCCGTCGAGCAAGAACTGCTGTAATACCCGCAGTCATAGCTCGAGCTACTACATGCTAAGCATGTTTCTAGCTCCTGTATACGCGTCTTCAGGGCGCAGCACCAATCGGAGCGCCGGGCCGACCAATACTAGCACTATTGGGCTTGGTCAATGTGCACCAAAATTTAGTCCAGAGGCGTTTGCTTGAACAGGCCGAGGGATAATAATTCATTTGAAACATAAATAGACATGCAAAGATAGCGTGGCTAAAGTACCGAAAAAATTAAAGAGCCATCTGATTTGTGCTCTTGTATTCTCCTAGCTCGATATGAGGATCAAAACGTTATGGAACGGACACGAGCCAGCAAAAAATGATGCTGAATCATCCGAGGAAGCCTGGAAAAGGCCAGTCCGTGCCAAATATGCAACGCTCCTATCATCCCGAACTTCATTGTCTGCTGCACATCCCGACGAGGAGTGGATTCATGGTGTCCTCCTCGGTACATGGGCCGCCGGAGGCATCTCGGTTCTGAATATCCTGCTAGCGCTCATTGCCATTGGTATCAGCTATTCCCAAAGCGCCAACTCACATGGTTTCCTTAGCACTGAACTGTACAATGGGAATTGCACTTTGTCCAGTAGATGGGCAACGGGCATCCATGTTGTCATTAACCTCTTGTCCACCACCCTCCTCGAGGCCAGTAACTACGCCATGCAATGCGTGTCGGGACCATCCCGTACAGATGTCGACAAAGCTCATCGAAAACGCCGTTGGCTGGATATTGGGGTGATGAGCTTTCGGAATTTTCGAGCCATGAGTATCAAGCGGAAACTTCTCTGGCTGGTTTTGCTTCTCAGCTCAGTCCCGATTCATATGATGTTAGTAATAGTGACTCCTATCCTGCCATCACTAACTTGCGTACCAGATATAACTCGGTGGTATTTTCATCCATCTCTGCGCTCGACTATGGCACAATGCTCGTCCCAGATGATCTAACGTCGACTGAGTCCTTGGTCGGCGCGGAAGGAAGGAGCGCCTTCGTGAAAGCCATCGGCAGCACGCCGGAGCTGATTCGAACTGAAATCTTCAACGGTACCTTTCAGAATTTGAGTAACGCTGAGTGCGTGAAAAAGTATGATGTGGAATACAACACGCATCTCGGAACCCTGATCTTAGTGGCTGAGCGACAGTACTTTGGCAATGCAAGCAGTCTCCAATGGAGCTACTCATCAGTATATGACTACGTCAAGAATGTGGGGAAAAGCAACGTCGAGAAGTTAGTTGATGAAGGGAAGTGGACAGCCGAAGGACTGGAATGGACTAAACGAACAATTGCTGTTAATACTCCGGAAGTCCCCATCTCCTACTGTATGGAAAAGACCATGACCCAGCGGTGTCGCCTTCTTTTCAGTCCATCGATTGCGCTGGCTGTGATTCTGTTCAACCTCACCAAGGTAGTCTGCATGTACTTGACTGCTAAAACGGACCGCTCTGAGATCTTATTGCGAGTAGGAGATGCCATATCGTCCTTCCTCGCCCATCCAGATCCCACAACCAAGGGCCGCTGTCTCATGTCCCGGGCTGATATGGCTCGAGGACCGCATCGATGGGAGCCATTGCCCCGATGGAAGAAGTTCATACGGAAGAGGATTCGTCGTGACCCAGAAATACAGACAGACATTCCCATGGAAAACCGTCGCATCTTGGAGCAGGCAGAGTCTTCAAAAACCGCCCCGAGGATGCTACCACGCCGAAAACAATGGTTTCGAGCGGCCAGTCTGTGCCGCTGGGCGAGTATAGTATTCATGTCCGTGCCCCATGCCTCGCATATCCTCATAAACTAACAAGCCACATAGGTTCACCGTCTGCTTCTTCATCTCCTACTTGATATACTTCGACCTAATCATCGAGGGAGACGGCTGGTCCCTCTCCGAGCAATGGAGCCTGGGATTCGGCTCCGCCAGCTCCCAAACCAGTATCCGCTTTTCAGGAGACAACATGATCGCCCTCGTCCTTATAAGCAACACCCCCCAACTGGTCTTCTCCATCATCTACTTCACCACCAACAGTCTCCTCTCCTGCATGCTCGTCACAGCGGAATACAATGACTATGCCATTGACCGCAAACCCCTACGGGTCTCCTGGCCCCGCGGCCAACAACGCTCAACGTACTACCTCGCCCTGCCTTACCGCTACAGCATCCCGCTTTTCATCATGTCTGTTGCCCTGCACTGGCTGCTTTCTGAAAGCTTCTTCTACGTCAACATCACTGTGTATGATGTTTTCGGCCATGAGGATACGAACAGCTCTATCAAGGGTTGCGGCTTCTCTCCTATCGCTATTTTTATCATTACTATCCTGGAGGGTGTGTCATTTTTCTCGCTGTTGGCACTGGGAATGAAGAAGTTTCGCTCCCGGATGCCGATCGCGGCGCATTGTAGTGCGGCGATCAGTGCTGCGTGTCATCCTCCTCATGGTGATGATGATGCGGGGCTTAAGGCCGTTGCGTGGGGCGAGGTTGGTGGGATAGATCAGTTTGTACAGGTGGATTTGGATACGGGTGTAGAGACGAGGTCTATGATTGAAGCTGGAGGTGGAGGTGGAGGTGGTCAGGAAGATTATGGTCATTGCACGTTCACCTCGTTTGATGTTACGATGCCAGTGAAGGGGAGGCTATATAGTTGATATCATACCACTAGTCCTATAAATTGATGCTGTTGTTGACTACTATCCTCTTATAAACCTACTATACTTATATAGAATCCAAAAATTACCATTCATCGTAACCTCTGGACTAGTGCTTCACTCCAACAGAGTGGTTACTCAACACTCCACAACATCACCATCACCATCTATACCCTCCAAGTCCCAACCCCATTCACCAACGCATCTACAACAACTACAACTACACCTCCATCCCACCCCCCCAACTCGGCGGTCCCTCACCCACCTCAGTCCCCCACTCACTTTCCTCCTCCTCTTCATCTCCCAACTCCACCTCCAACACACCCCCCTCTACAAAAAACTCATGCCCAATCCAACACCTCGTATACGCCTCCCCATCCAACCACGCCCTCTTCACCACCTTCCCCCCAACACCCACCCCAACATCCCCCCTAACCCTCACCACCGCCTCCCTCCCCGTAACCCCATTCCTAACCCTAACCTCCTGCACAAACGGCGCCGAAATCAAATACACATTCTGTCCCGGGTTCGGGAACAGACCCATGAGTCCAAATACCGTGAACGCCGCCATTGCCCCGGAGTCGTCGTTGCCGGGGATACCAGACCGAGAGGTATTGAATACAGATGGGATGAGAGTGTGGATGAGACGCGAGGATAAGGCGGGGCGCGAGGCGTAGTGGTATTGGTAGACGGTTAGGAAGACGGGTTCGTTGCTGTAGTCTGCTAGCGCTGTGGAGTGGAATGTGGATAGACGGGATGTGAAGGAGGTTGGGCCCGAGAGGTAGTTGGTTATTAGGGTGGGGAGGTCGTGGGGGACGTAACTATAATTTTCATCAGTTCTTCGGTTAGTGATATTGGTTATGGGGGAGGAGGGATATGTAAGGGGAGGGTTAGGGTAAGGGGAATGGGGTATGATACAATTGATATTCCCAAATACTCGACTCAAACGTCTCCGACGGATTACTCGTCAACGAGCACCACGTCGGCCCCGTAGCAAGGGGACTACAATCCATCGGATCCTGATGCGCCCACGTTCCATTACGATACTTGGGTTGGAAGAAGCCCACGAACCCCGTATCAGTTCCATTCGGGAAGAAGGAGCGCTGGTCAGGTTTGAACAGATTTTTCCAGTTGGTCGATCTCGCAAGATACTTCAAGTAGTCGTCTGTCTTGTTCAGGCCGTGGGCGACAGTCGCGACGCAAAAGTCGTTGTATGCGTATTCCAACGTCCGGGAGATACTGCGCGAGTTGGTGCCGAAACCGAGGTAGTCGAAGTCGTGGTAGGGGATGTAGTTCAGGGCCTTCCAGCTTTGGAGACCCCCGCGGCCTTGGTAGGACCATTCTAGGGGCTCGTTTTCGGCGTCGTTGACCATTGCTTCGTAGGCGAGGTCCCAGTCGATGTCTGTGAGGTTCTTGACAAATGCGTCGGCGAGGACGACGTCCGCGTTGGAGCCGCCTTGTGTCCAGCCCTTGCAGAGACTCATCCGGCAGTCTGGGAGCCAGCCTTCGTGGCGGTAGGTGTCGAGGAGACTGCGGACGATGCGGGATTGAGTGGTCGGGTCGATGATGGTGAGGAGAGGGTGTTGGGCGCGGAAGGCGTCCCAGATGCTGGATGCATTAGTATATATATCACTTGCAGATGTGGTGATTGGGGATAGGGGTACCAATAGAAGGAATCAAAGTACGGCTCATCGCTCTCCCAAAGGGGATTCTCCCCGGTCAGATCCTGCGGATCCAGCATGGTTCTATAAATGCCCGTCCAGAACATAGTCTGCAGGGCAGTACTCGCACTCGTATTCCCAGGCGTCATCTCAACAGGACTCAGCTTCTCCCTCCAAGCATCCTCCGCAGCTGCCCGTATCGCATCAAAGTCCTCCAACGGACTCGGAATCTCCACTCTTGCATTCTCACACGCCTTCTCCGTACTAACATAACTGACCCCAACCCTAACACTCACCGTCCCATTACTAGGCCTCTCAAACCTCACGAACCCACCCGCCTGCAGATAGAAGTTATTAAACCCCCGAGTGACAAACAACTCCTTCCTCTCCACACCCCCGGCATCATTCACCCAAACCCCCGTGTCTTTAACCTCCGCCCCCGCGAAATCCACACACACATACGAAGCATACTCACCAGCCCCAAAGCTAGGTAAAAACGTCCCATTGGCCTTGATCTGCCCCGTACTCTCATCCACACTAATCGACGCATTCTGCCTACTCTCCCATAAATCCGTCAAATCCAACAGTATCATCGGACTCAACTTCTGCTCCGCTGTATCCGGAAAATTAAACCGAAACAGCGCCGCATGCTGCGTCGTAGTCATCTCCGCATGTATACCATTCGTCATGGTTAGGGCAAAGTACCCCGGCCTTGCCACGACCGAGTCATTCTGGTAATGTACGGCGCGGGCGGACTTGGGAAAAGGACAGTTGTCGAGGACATCGTCAACGCAGTATTGAGGGAATAAGGGGAAGTTGCCTAGGGAAGGATTCCCGCCGGTGCCGGAGTCGTGCAGGGCCGAGAAGCCTGTGATGTTGCTGTTGTCTGGGGAGAAGCCTGCGGTGTTTTGGCCGTCCACGTCGGCGACGGCTTTGGCCATGCCGTAGGGGAGGGTCGCGCCGGCGAAGACATTGCCGCCGTTGGTGGTGCCGATGAGTGGGTTGATGTGGGTGAGGATGTCGGTGGTGTTGGTGTTGGTGCTGTGGGTGAGTGGGAGGAGAGGAAGGATGTGGAGGAGGTAGGGCTGGAGGGGGCGCATGGTGAGGGGTGAGTGTGTTGATGGGAGTGTTGGAACTTCCCTAGGGGATATGTGACACCAGATACGGGGAATAGAGGAGACATCATTGTTGTGGAGGGGGAGATCGACAGACAGCAATGCAGGGAGACATTCAAGCGGGGTTATGCAGGGATGGCAGGGATAGATGCATACAGAGGATCAATAGATTAAACCTTGAGTAATAATACAGGGATATTAAGGTAGAACAATAAGATTGCAAGAAAGTAACAACACACCCAATACCAACACCCTCCCTCACTGCCCATGAACAGGTACATATCCAACTAAATCATCGTACCCTTATTCTGCTTCTTGTCAGTCCGGTAATTCTTCCAAACCGCAATCGCCGGGAATCCCAACGCCAAAATCGCCGTGCCAGCAACAGACCCATACATCTGACTTCTTCCCCAAGCATAATCCACCGCAGCCCGGGTCGGCGATCCCACCGGATAGGTCATCTGCGTCGTATACCCACCAAGATAAATGTCCGTCGCATTCGACTTCAAATCCGCAGGAAGACGACTCTCCAACGCCTGCGGGAAGATATTGGTATACACCGCCGCAGCAACAGCATACCCAATAGCGCCGCCCAGACTCGAAAACAGCCCTAACAGCGACAACATCATGGGCACACCCTCGCGATCCGCAGCAGCCATCACCGCCATATCATCACCGATGACGATCGTGCCGCCGCCGAAGGCAATGAAGATCTGCGACATGATCACGTAGTTGATGTCGTTGCCGCCCTCGCCGCGGAAATGGATCATCAGTCCGGCACCCAGACAGAGAAGCGGCAGTCCGAAGAACAGACAAGTGTACTTGAAGTGCTTAGTGTAACGGATCCAGAGACCAAAGACGACGCCCCAGAAACATGATCCGACGTTGTAGATCTGCGTCATGTAGCCGGTCATCGACACGCTGAGGTTGAACACCACGATGCAAAAGTCGTAGAAGTACAGATCCCAGCAGTAGAAGCTGAAATACGACACCGCGGACATGATGCACGCTCCTAGCACAGTGCGCTGTCGCAGCAACTCATACCGCACGAAGTGCTTGCGCGTGAACCATTTCTCCCACACGGCAAACGCAACCAGCAGCTTGAAGCCGACGATAATCATGGCGATGAACTTGGCGCTTTTGTATTGCGCGCGTCCGTATTGCTGCAGACTGAAGGGGAGGAGGAGCAGGACCCATGCGGCCATGAGCAGAAAGGCGCCGATCACTGGCTTGTTAGTATACAGCAAAGTGAGGGGGAATAGGGCACGACATACAGTCAAACTCATGAATGTAGTGAACAATGGACTGCATCGTTGTCCGTCCACTGTCCTCCTTCTTCAACAATCCCATGCTCTCCGCCTTGCGCTGATAGTACTTCAACACCACCACCAACGGCGCAAACGCCACCGGCATAATGATGGCAAACACGCCATACGCCCAGCGCCACGTCGCCACCTTGAGGAACGACTCACCCGCCAGGGGACCCGTGAACGCGGTGCAGATGAACGGGGTACTAGCGAAGGCGAACGTAAACGCCCGGTTCTGCAAGCCGGACGTATCGGCGATATAAACATCCAACACGAGATAGATACCCGAGTAGCCCACGTAGAAGAGCACATAGCCTGCAGCATACGAATCCGGACCATCACACGCAGCCAGCACAATCAGTCCAATGGTGTAGATGACCACCCACACGATTAAACCCTCGGCACGGCCCCAGATGTTCAACGTTTTCGCGATCGGCAGCTTCAGCACGCCGCCGATGATGCTGTAGAGGATACTGGCTGTGCTGACTTGGGGGGCGGCTTTGAAGTCGGCGTAGGCGCGGTTGATGACGGTGCCGCTGATGGAGTTGTTGAGGGCGAGGAGGAAGAAGCATACCCAAATCCTATACCAGTTAGATGGATCTTTCGTTACATTGAAGGAAGGGTATATACCAAGCATAAGTAGCATAAACAGCCTTCTTACTCCAGACTAGGGCCGCGGCTTCAGCTTTCTGCACACCCAGCTGGGCATCCTTGGTGACTTGGTCCGGGTGGGCCTCGATTTCTTTTTCGTTTTGCGCTTCCAGACTCAGTCGTGACTGGTCTGAGCTGTAGAAGACGCCATCTTCATGGCCAGAGACGACTTCTTTGGTCTGAGACTCGGCGGACACAGAGACCTCATGATTGATTTCGGTGGTCGTCTTTTCCTCCTTGAAGAACCGCATGGTTGAGACGAATAGAAGTGAAGCCTTATGCTTCTTAGTGTCGTATATGACCCCTAGTAACCCCAATCGCCAAGCAACCTAGAAGGAAAGAAAGAAAGAGAAGGAATGGAAGGGATGGAGATCAAATCCAGGGATGAGCAGGAATCATCAGACACAGTCAGACAGACGTATTTGTATCTAACCAACAAGCCAACCAAAAGGATAATAATTAATCACTACCCGCACGAGACGCGCTGCAAAACAGAAAAAGATGGAACTAAGTTAAGAAATGAACGAACGGCGGGAGGAGGGGGGAGCCGATCACTTAAACCCCTAGCTAGACTCTAGTCTAGAGAGTCAGAGCCAGTGTCAACAGCACATGCCAAAGAAAAGAAAAGAAATAAAAATATCCCACTGGCCCCGATCTGATAACCCACGACGGATCAGATAAACTGCCCCATCGACACCAATCAAGGGCTGCGAGTGACAAGTGCGTGCCACTCTGGTTCGTGAAAAAGTTTACTGGGTTTGTTGACGGCTTTGATTTGTTCGGCGATCGCCAGTCCGGATGGTTGTCTCACTCAGTCTTGGTGTATTCCCGGATTATGACTTCCTATGGTGTGATGATGATGAATATCTTACCTCTACTCCGTAGATTGATAAATGAGAATTGACTGATAGATATTCCCATATCAATCTGATAACATCCTACAAAGAAACCACACATCCCTCCAAGTGAATCAGTCACCCTTGAATGTGAGTGACCAACACCAACCCAACACCCGATCGTCATCACCGGGAACTCCGGGTGGAGTACAGAGTAACAAGACAGCAAACAGAATCTCAGCTGGGGCACAGAAATGCAAATCAGACCCAGTCCAATCCAATCAATCGATCCATCCATCGGCATGCCCGGCTCATCACCCCTTCGTCGTATCATATGGGGATCATCCCACGTTGTCGTACACACTACGACCACGAAAATTCTCCGCTCCTTTTCTCATTGCATATTTCCTTCCGATGGAACACAGACCTCCATCACAGTAAACATAATTCAATTGATTGTTGCACTGAGTAGAAAACAACCAGGGTATGTACTCCGTACAAAGTAACAGTAGTAGAATCTGCACCAGGGTCCAAACCCCAAAGAATCATTCCAAGGGTCTATTCCTTCCCACCCACACGGCGCAAAGCGAGCAAATCGACTGGACGTCTACTCCAAGTGTGGGCCCACACGATCACTCCAGTAAATTCAATCTCTCAGCCTGAGCCACTCACCCACCGAAACAGACATGGGGCGGACGCTAAACAAGACTCTCACTCACACACGCAGCACATCGTATCATATCTAGACTAACCGCTACTACTGTAGACTAAATCTCAAGGAGAATACGATCAACGCAATCGTGCCTGACGGGAGAAGCTGAAACGAAAGATCAGCATAGCACGTATTTCTAGTGTGTTTTGCACGTCCAGTCACAATTGATCTAATCTTATCAATTATCATATCTGATGAATATGATTCGATTTTGGGGGAGGGGATTTGTCTTCCGATCACGAGGATATTCGTAGTTTGTACTCCGCACATGCATATGGGGTTTGATTACGAGGTGCGGCGGTGGGAAGCTTAATTCTTTGGTAATGGATTGTTCGAGGAAGAAGTAAGCATTGAATGGGTTGGTTTTATTGGTATATTTGGGGTTCGGGGATAGCGCCTGGCTTTGGCTGGCTGGGTAGTTCATGATGATCTTGGTCGGTGTTAGTCAATGGGATTGAATCTATTTCTAAAGCTGGGATGTCGGCAATGGGGGTGATTCTATTTCTAATTGTTATGGTTCTACTCCTTCGTTTTGACCAGATTGATAATTGGTATGGTATGCTAAGAAGGGTATAAGATTTTTCTGCCTCTTTCCTATTTGTTATTGCTTTTATCAATTACAACATCCTTTTTTATTTTTGCGTAGCTTGAAACTACCCAGCCGCCATATATGCACGCTAAACTTTGCAACAATGGCATTCATCATGAAAAAGAAACCACAATACCGTAAACATTCCCACACTAAACTCATAGCCTGGTTTAGCATTAAACACCGCTCGACTCATCAGAACTAAGCATCACCCCCACTAGCAGTCGAGCCCTCCTTCTCTCGCTCTACCGATGATCCCTGACTCCTTGACCCCTTCACTCCCGACCGAAGCACCAACTTCTCCTTCTTAGGCTGTGCTGCATCGCCAACATCCCGATCCAGCGCAGCATACATAGTAGAACTAGACCACGGCGCCACAGCAGCCGGAGTAGCCGTTCCCGACGTAGACGCAGAAGAAGGAGCTGAAGTCCGTCCCGCCCCAAGAACCAGATTGCTTCTCTTCGAAGCAGCCACCTGTGCCCAGCCGCCCTCGCTGGACCCATTGTTATGTGCGCGTGCCGCTTCACGTTGGGCTTTGGCCTCTGCGGCGGCGAGACGCTGCGCTTCTTGTTCCTTTAGGCGTTGGCGATCACGCAGCTTGACGCAGTCGCCCACGCTCATGCCGCCGATACCAATGGCCATGCCGTTGCCGGTGCCGAACACGGGCGGAGTCCAGAGAGTGGACTTCAATACGAAGACGTGGCGGTGGGGTTCCGGGTCGAAGCTTTCGCTAGCGAAGCCCCAGTCTGCTGCGAGGGAGTGGGTGAAGGCGCGGAGGGAGGATTTAGCGGGTTGGAAGCGCGTGGATCGCTCGGTTGGGGTGGTAGCTAGGGTGTGGAGGGTGGATTCAATGGTTTGTAGGGTGGACAGGGGGTGGGAGGAGGAAAGTT